TTATTTGACTAATGATTTTATTACTGATTAGTACTTTTTATTATTCTAGGGTTATGATTATGGAAGAAGTGGAAATCCTACAAGAACTGTTTTAGAGACATGTTTAGCTGCTTTAGATAATGGGAAACATGGATTTGCTTTTGCATCTGGCTTAGGTGCTACAACAACATTGACTTCATTATTAAATGTAGGAGATCATATTATATCTGGTGATGATATTTATGGTGGAACTAATCGTTACTTTCAAAAATGTTTGTCTATAACAAATATTCCAGTAACATTTGTGGATATGACAGATGTAAAAAATGTTACAGACAATATAAAACCAAATACAAAGGTGTGAAAATATTTAAAAATTTAATTTTACATATTATAAGTAAATTCTAATATCATTTAAGAAATATGCAACATGTACCACAAATATATAGATACATTTTTATGCTCTTTTAGATGGTTTGGTTGGAAACACCAACTAATCCCTTGCTGAAATTAATTGATATTAAAGCAGTTATTGAAGCAGTAAAGAACAAAAATCCTGAAATTATTGTAGTAGTAGACAATACTTTTTTAACTTGTTACTTTCAGGTAAGTAAGTAATAACTTGCATTCATCACCATAATATAATAAAATAACATGTACCTGTTTTGTTATAGAAACCACTAGATTTAGATGCAGATATTGTAGTATATTCTCTGACAAAGTATATGAATGGACACTCAGATGTTATTATGGGTGCAGCAGTTACAAACAGAGATGATATTGCAGAAAAAATTAAATTTTTACAAAAATGTAATATCGTATAACTTTAATTTATTTTTGTCATTGTAAATCATAATTTACAGATATAATAATAATTTTTAATTATTTTAGCTATGGGTATTGTTCCATCACCTTTTGATTGTTCTATGGTTAATCGAAGTTTAAAAACTTTGGAACTTAGAATGCAACAACATATGAAAAATGGATTAGCAGTTGCAAAATTTCTAGAATCTCATCCTTATGTAGAAAAAGTAATTCATCCATGTATGTATTTGTATTAAATTTATAATTTCATCGTTAAATTTTTATTATGTATTTATGTATTTAAAATATTTAACTGTGTATTTAAAGAAGAAAAAACTGTACAATTACATTTTTTTGTTATATGTAATATGCTTTATAACAGAATTCATTTAATTGTAGATCTTTCTTCGCATCCACAACGAGAACTTGCGCTTAGACAAACATCTGGACACAGTGGAATGGTTTCATTTTATCTGAAGGGTGATTCCAAGAAATTTTTAAAGGCATTAAAAGTGTTTACGTTGGCAGAATCACTTGGCGGTTATGAATCTCTTGCTGAATTACCGTACGTAAATAGTAATTTATTATAAACAAAGAAAAATATTTTTTCATTATTTTAATTTTTTGCATAGGTCCACCATGACTCATGCTTCAGTTCCTGAAGAAACTAGAGCAATATTAGGTATTAATGATCAATTAATTCGGCTGTCTGTTGGTCTTGAAACAGAACAAGATATTTTAGCTGACCTCGATCAAGCTCTTAAAATTTGTCAATTTTAACACATTCGGACCGATTTGTGATTTTATTTACGCCGTGTGGGTCGCTGGCGTCCTACTTAGGGACAACTGCAATATACATATTGAATAACGAAAAGTTTAAAAAACGGAAAGTTTAGCGTGGGAAAGTTGTAGCTGTGTGAACGAAAAAGTTATTAACATCACCATAATTTAAAATGCTAATAGGATATTATATTATTAATATGTAATATCTAAAGCTTTTACATTATTTTTAATAAAATTTACCTACTTTTTTAAATTAGGTTT